GGGGTTAAGGTTAACCTTGCTGAGTGGAGTGGTTTGATAGACTTCTCGGTCGTTCCTATGGACGATTATCCTATAGTGTTGGGCATGGAGTTTATGGATTCGGTGAAGGCAATAATGATTCCGTTTGCCAACACGATATGCATACTTAAGGAGGGTGAGGCTTGCACGGTGAAGCTGTCTCGAGAGGAGAGGATCCAGTCCAAGCAAATCTCGTCCATGCAACTTGCTGAGGGCACAGGAAGGCGACAACCTTCAAACCTAGCCATCTTGAAAGAGGAACCAGCGTCGACAAATGATATGGAGAAGGGAGTGGCTAAGGTATCTGTAGAGTCCAAGGACGCGATGCTGTCCGAGTTGCCAGACCCACTTCCGCCCAAGAAGGATGTAGACCTTAAGATCGAGTTGGTCCCCGGGTCTACACCACCTGCAATCGTGCCGTGCAGCAAGGCACCACCCGAGTTAGATGAAGTAAAGACGGACAACGTGGTAACAAGTTACTTCCTTAACCAAAAGAAGCTGACGCCGAAGCAAGCGAGGTGGCAAGACTTCCTTGCGGAGTTTGACGTTGTGATGGAGTACAAGCTGGGGAAGGCAAACAACGTGGCGGATGCGTTGAGTAGAAAAGCCGAGCTAACAGCCACCACAAGCCTGAGTTTCCCTTTGGTTGAACGAGTCAAGGAGGGACTAGAGCATGACCCGAAGGCCAAAAATTTGATGGAGTTGGCAAGTCGAAGTAAGACACGCCAATTTTGGCTAAGGGAGGGGTTGCTCATGACGAAGGGAGACCGTGTATACGTTCCGAAATGGCAAGGGTTGAGGAAGGAGATTACCGAGGAGTGCCGCGATTCGAGATGGGTTGGGCATCATCAACCAGCGGGGTTGCTGGAACCATTACCCACACCGGAGAAGCCGAGGGAAAGCATTTCTATGGACTTCGTCACGTGTTTGCCTAAGTCCAAGGGGTGTGGGAACATTATGGCCGTGTGTTACAGAAGTCCAAGCCCATCCGCGTTCAAGTTCGCAAAAGGATGGCAAGAGAAGGCCGATATGGCCAAAACATACTTAGTAAAGGCCACGAAGAAAAAGAAGAAGTGGGATGATGCAAAGAGACTTAGTGCTTGTAAAGCTCCTTTCTCACCAAAGCATACGTTCGCGAAGCTACACAAAGGGTTGGTGCGAAGATATGAGAGTCCGTTTCCAATCGAGAAACAGGTGGGCAAGTTAGCATGTCGTTTGACTCTACCCTCACATCTTGAGATTTACCCGGTGTTTCACGTAAGCCTGCTCAAGCCTTACAAGGAAGACAAGGAGGATCCGAGTAGAAGCGTGTCGAAGAGAGCACCAACCGCAATCACGAAGGTTCCTGAGTGCGAGGCTGAAAAGATATTTGCTCATCAAGTCATTCCGAGAAGAGCCGCGCACCCAAGCTACATGGAGTACTTCGTCAAATGGAAGAACGCTCTGGATAGCAAGGCTTGCTGGGAACATGAGTTAACCTTGTGGAACTACAAGGATTTAATAGAGGCTTACAAGAAGACCTCGATGAGGACGTCGTGAGATTGAGTGATCGGAATCGCCGAATGCCAAAATACCTCGATGATTATGAGACCGATTTTCCACCATCCCTTGATCACTCACGGTCTACTACAAGCGCAGCAAACTCAACAGTTTACCCTATTTCGAAATATATTAATTATGAAAAATTTTCATATACTCATAAAGCATATTTAACGGCCATCACTTGTCGTGATGAGCCTAAATATTTTTCACAGGCTGTACGGGATCCTTTATGGAGAGATGCCATGCAAAAGGAGATAAAGGCATTGGAAGAAAATAACACTTGGGTTCTAGCCCCATTACCACCCGGAAAAAAGGCAATTGATTCAAAGTGGGTTTATAAAATTAAATATAAATCCAACGGTGATGTGGAGCGGTACAAGGCTAGATTGGTAGCCAGGGGATTTACTCAAGTAAAAGGGGTTGATTTTCATGAAACATTTGCACCGGTGGCTAAACTTGTTACGGTACGGTGTTTGTTGGCCGTTGCTGCAAAACGAGATTGGACTGTTCACCAATTGGACGTGAACAACGCCTTTCTTCATGGTGACCTCTCTGAAGACGTCTACATGCGTCTACCACAGGGATTTGCTAAAAAGGATGAAACTCGAGTTTGCAAGTTGCAAAAATCTTTATATGGGCTTCGACAGGCTTATCGGAATTGGTATCATAAATTCACTCAAGCATTGGTCGGAATCGGATTTCGTCAATCACATGCAGATCACTCTCTTTTTATTTTTCACAGGGGACGTGTCCAAACATTTGCTCTCATCTACGTGGATGACGTTATCTTGGCCGGAAACGATCCTTCTCACATTGACACCATCAAACATTATTTAGATACCAAGTTTAGCATCAAAGACTTGGGAAAGCTTAAATATTTTCTTGGAATTGAGGTTGCCCGCTCTCCAGAAGGTTTCGTTTTAAGTCAACGAAAATATACTCTTGACATTTTAGGAGAAAGTGGTAATCTTGTTGGCCGTCCTAGTTTATTTCCGATGGAACAAAACCTAAAACTCCGCCCTGATGATGGTAGTCTGCTCGTAGATGCCCCTTCCTATCGACGATTAATTGGGCGTCTATTATATCTCACTGTGACCCGTCCAGATATAGTCTACTCAGTTAGCCAGCTCAGTCAATTCCTTGGCGCGCCACGACAATCACATTTTGATGCAGCTATTCGTGTCCTTCGGTACTTAAAATCCACACCTGGTCAAGGCATATTTTTATCTTCCGACCATGACTTCACCTTGACCGGATATTGTGACGCTGATTGGGCAGGATGCTCCTTTACTCGTCGATCTAGCACCGGCTATTTAGTCACTCTTGGAGCTTCACCCATATCATGGCGGACAAATAAACAGTCCGTCGTCTCTCGTTCTTCCGCTGAGGCAGAGTATCGTGCCATGGCAGTCACTGTTAGTGAGATTTTATGGTTACGTTGGTTACTACGAGATCTCACAATTCATCAAAAGGGCCCCACATTACTTTATTGTGATAACCAAGCAGCACGACACATTGCGCTCAACCCGGTTTTTCATGAACGGACCAAACATGTTGAAATGGATTGTCACTTTGTACGAGAACGAGTTATGAGTAACGAAATCCAACCACAATACATATCCACGACAAATCAAGTGGCCGACATATTCACAAAAGCACTTGGAACTGACCGGTTTCATTTTCTTCGTAGCAAGTTGGGTGTTCGTGACCTACACACTCCATCTTGAGGGGGAGTATTAGAGTTCATGTATTTCTTCTTACGTATATTTTGGCTGCCATGTATTTTTCCATGTATTATTATACTTGTTACGTTATGTGGAGTAGGATAGAATTTGCATGGCACATGCTGATGACTCCTCTCTCTCCTAAATATTGCACATATGATGTATTATACGTTAACGAAGAATTCCTCCACCCTTATTGAGTTTCTTCCTCCAGTATGATAGAATAGTTTCACTCCCATAATATTATTCTTATCAAGAGTTAGACTGATTAGCATAAGTTCGAGTGAGTGTGCTAGTGCCGCACGGGTTTGAGAATAAGTCCGTGACACTGGTGATAGAACAACTTATTCATAGTTCTTGAATGGAAATTTCTAGATCTGGTTTGTTATTTGCAGCAAGGCAAATATGGAACGACAACAATACCAATAGTAATAGACTAATAGGTAGACCGTAGACTACTCCATTGGATATCAGCTGAAAAGTATAAAGAGTTATTAGTCCTAAATAGGACTGAATTATGATCAAAGTTCCTAAATAGGAGTTAACGTTTTATTTTTCCTAAATAGGACTCCTAATTCCCAATTTACCCCTGCTCTAATAAAGGCCCTAAATCTGCCATCATTGACATCTTCTTTTGCTGATGCGCTCGATGCGGAAAACTTCCATGGAGTGAAGGAGATGTTCTTCTGCGCACCATACACCATACTCGACATCTTCTACATGTAATCACACCTCCTTTTCTCCTCTTCTTCTTTCTTCTTCCCCTCTTCTCCTCCTCCTTTCTCCTCTTCCTCTATTCTCTGCTCCTCTAGCATTTATTCGAATATTATTTCGATTCTCTGCCCTAAAATTTGAATTGGAAACATTTGAATTGGAAATCTTTACAAACTTGTAAGAAATGCCACATTTATGGCATTTTTTATGGGTATGGACATTTAGATCTTTGAAATGCCAGATTTTTGACATTTTCACAAATTTTGGTATTTTTATGGCATTGAATTGTATTTATTGGCGATACTACTGCTTCATTTTTGTTCCCCTATTTCACTGTTTGGACTCTAAAATGTGAAAATGCCATAATCTGTAATCTGAAAATTCCATAGCTTTACAGGTAGAAATGCCATTTTTTTGTCATTATCGTTATCATAATTGCATTTTGTTTTGAAATTGATGACATACACTCAAAGGAGGTAGCAATGACTAAGAAGATGGTTATCTTTGGAAGAGAATTTAGTTGTGGCAGTTTGGCACCATTCTCGCTCGCAACAGGATGGGAGTGTGCAGCTGCAATCTCGGCGGCAACTTTGGGGGCGGTCTTACTTGGCTGCGGCGGCGGTCTCTACAGCAGCGGCCATGGACGGAAGGTGCTGAAGGTGTCCGACTTGGAGTTCGCATCTGGAATGAGCAGAGGGGCTGGAGGTCGGTTTGGAGTTCAGCGTGGAATGAGACAACGTGGGAAGAGTTTTATTGATCTGTAATATCAGGGCAATTTTGTCTAATCAATTCGTTTTTGGTCCTATAAATTATAATAGTCCTATTTGTGCACTTCAACATTGATTTAATCCCATTTAGGGAATTACCTCAAGTATAAAACCAATACAATTGCATTTAGGTAGCAGGTTACTACGGTCCATTATTAGAAGACGGGTCATAAAGATTGTACTATTTTCACATTAATCTAATAAAGTGAGACTATTTTTCCAAATAAATGGGGGATTATAATCAATTTTTCCAGAAATTAATGCATGTACCATAGAATTTTCCAGATTATATATAGATCGAGCAGAGGATAGGAACCCATGGAATAGCCCAATGGCAGCCCGCGCCATGAATAGCTGCCGCTCCGCTTCGTCTCATCCGCCGTTGTTGGCGACGAACTTACAGAGCTGGCATGCCCAGCACCAGTTCAGTATACGGCGGTTCCAGAGATACCATAGTTTGCATTCTCGGTTCTCATTTCCCCGTTCCGAACTTTGTTCGATCGGTCGTGGCAGTGTTCGGAGTTACTCTGTCCAAATCTTATTTCAAACCGTCATGGAAGAGCTGCAATCGATGCGCAAACAATGGCAAATTCATGCTTCTTCCGAGTACCTCTCTGTCATTTGACCCCCCATATGCATACCAAGTCTTTCCATTTCGCAACTCGTTATAGACTGAACTTATACAAGTATTAAAATAGAAGCCCATTGCATTGCATTGGATTTGAATTGAGAAAATGAGTATAGGATTTACTTTAAAGATGCCAATAAGTTTCTGCAGACTTAGGCAACAATCTTTTTGGGTACATCCGAAAAGACAGACATCCATCTGCTACATTGTTCTTGGAATAAAAGAATCATGGGATTGACTAGTATTTCATACCGATGAGGTCACGAGGAGATGTGACTTACCTTTTGGGATCTAATTACCCTACAATCTAAGTCAAGACATGGAGTTTGACAAGAAATTTACATATCAAGAAATGAAACTCTTATAGTATGATTGTTAATATATGCATCTTTACTGCTGAACTAAACCATTACTATTTTCAAATAAAAGGGTCACAACTATAATCTTATGATTGTGTTAAGCATACATATGTGGTGAACTTATCTTTACATATCATGTGTCAGAAATGATTAGTAGCCTAATGCAGATTGGGATTAACAAGCACTGATGAGCTTTTCCAAGACAAAGTAGAAAAGCGGACTATGCAAAGGGGGTTGCTGCTAGAATTCAAGAAGGACACTGAAAGGCTATTGCTAGCAGTTGCTCTCAGACCTGATGGGAAAAAGAATTGGATGGTCTTGGATCAGGTTTGCAAGACATGTATAAGATGTTATTAGTCTCACTGAAGTGATTGGTCTGATTTTCTTACTCCTAATGGTGCAGAATGGTGTAACAGCCTCAATTAAACCACAGCAAGTTACTTTTATTGTTCCTGGGATTGATAATTTTGACCCCATCAACATATCAAACTTTGTCCAGAAAGCGTGTGATAACCTGGTAGTGACTTGTGTGATCTGAAAGTATATATTTCACTTCCTCCTCTCTTCTTTTTTGTTTTAAAGCTTACCTTGTTTTACAATGTTTTTCTTTTAAAGGATCCTGCTCTACTTGAGTTTGCATGGAATGAGCTTCTTGATAATAATAAATCTGTCACGCTGGATGAACTGGCAGAGGTGTAGATTTGATCTGTTTGTAATTCAACTGTTCTGTTTTAATATTGACCGCGTTCTATCTTAACAGATGATTTTTGGTAGTGCGGAACCTCTTGAGAGCTATTGTACCCATCTTTTATTATCTAGAGATGACATATACTTCACTCGTTTGGGGACTAAAGGTTCTCATTCTATTTATGGACCTCGACCCCCTAGACAGGTACTCTGTTTTTTCTTTGTGGTCACATCTGATATTATCATATTATCATTCCTCTTCTTGTTTCGACGATCTGGTTAGTACGTTAAATAAAATTTTGGTTCATCCTGTTGCACTATTTATGTTACTTGCATGCTACGTGTGTTTTCAGTACTAGAATATGCCATATTCATTGTGCATTATATTGTAATTTTACTTAGCTCAGTATTTTACGGTTTTACCTTAATGTGTGTCATCAACATATGGGCATGAAGCATGATTCATAAAGCTAGAACAGTGACTTTAAGTTTATACTTTCTGCTCTTCTAGTTGTCTACCAACAACGTAAATCATGGTTATTACTTTGCTGTGTAATTCAAAATGTTTCATTTTAATTGGGTCCGATGATATTCTTAGAGTTAAGTGGTTAACAATGTTAACTATTTTTTTTTAAAGGTACATGAACTTCTACAAAGGAAGATTGCTAAAGAGGCTGATGAGACAGAACTTGAGGAGTTCATTCAGTTGCTAAAATCTATTAAAGAGAGGCCTCCACATGCCAAACCTCCAAAAGCTATGTGGATGACTGAAACAAAAAATTGGGAGAAAATCCAGTCTCTTGAAGATTTTGCTGTTGATAATTGTATCAATGATGACCGAAAGAGATTGGCAGGGGCGGTGAGATGAGTTGTTTCCTACTTTCCTGATCTATTTATTTTTGCCAATTACTATATTTGTCTTCAATTGTAAGGTGGTTTAGGGAAGACACGTGTAAATGGTTTTGGGATGCCAATTTTATCTTACCTTTTCAGATAATTTTCTAATCGATGCTGCAGAGGTTACATGCTCATACTGGGGTTTTTATTTGTCTGTTTTGTCCACTGTCAGATCCTCAAAGCCATGGGCATGGCTAAAACGTCATCCTCAGCAGTTACTCTTCTTATGAATATTGGATATTTCCCTGTACATGTCAATCTTGATTTATTAAAACTGAACCTTCCTACTGATCATCGGGATGATGTTGTATTGGCTGCAGACAATATTTTATTAGAGTCAACTAGCATGTGTGAGGTATGAAGGTATCATGTGACTCAAATCCCTAATTTAGATAGATTCCAATTTTTTTGCTTGAACCATTTATCCTATGAGTCTCTCAAATTTGGATCTGGTGGAGTTAACTTCTGATGTGTAACTGCGGGTGTGTCTTGTGTTAGGACCACACAAAGGACTGTGTGAGTCACAACGGTACTAACACTTCCTATTCTATCCTTTCCCTTGTCATTCTTAATAGGAATTTTTAAATAATACCCCGTAGTAATAATAAAACATAAAAAAATAAAAAAGTAAAATAAATAAAAAATATACAGGCCTCAACCACCACCTCAGCCACCTACGATCCCGGAAAAGAATGCCAAGTTGAAAAAAATGTCATCATGATGGCAATTTTGAAAAGAAAGCTGGATATTTTCAAAAAGTAAACATGTCATCTTCATGACATTTTCAGAGGAATGTCGCCTCTTATACACAAGATAACATTTTTTTCTGGCGATCAGAGCTGGTGGTGCTGGGAGGTGGAAGATGCGGTGGCAGAGGCCTACATATTTTTTATATTTTTAGGTATTTTATTTTATTAGATTTTTTAAGTTTTTTTTTAAATTATTATATCTTTATTTTATTTTGATTTTTTGTATTCATTATATTTTTTTCCGTTTTTATATTACTTTCTATTTTTTAAATATTTTTATGATGAATAAAACTATGATATTCCTATTAATAAAATAAATACGGAGTATATTAGGAATTATAGGAAGAGGGGAGAATAGGAAGAACATACATCTCTCCTGATTAAAAAAATTATAGTCCTATTGTTGCATTTAGGACTATTTTTAGTCCCACTTAGGGCTAATTATTATTATTGTTATTATTACTCCTCCGCCTCCGCCTCCTCCTCCTTTTTTCTTGTAAAGAAAATTCATCATCATCATCATCATTACCCCAGCGCCGCAAAGGCTCCCACCAACGGTGGGGTAAGGGGGGTCAGATGTACGCAACCTTACCCCTGTACTAAAGCACAAAGAGACTGTTTCCGAATGACCCACGGTGAAAATCGCGACAGAAATTACATGGACTGACTGTTGCTTCATAATAAAGAAGCGCAGACAGTTTAGTGAGCCATTTTGCTTTATTCCATCATATTTCCAAGCAAAAAAATAGTGAGTCTTTGGCTCCATTGCAAATGATGGAAATGTAAAGAAAATTCTATAAATTAATTAAGCAAATCATTAGCCATAAGGCTTACAATAAATGAAGGAGAAACATTCAACCAAACTCTACTATTTGACAAAAAAATGACAACTCTAGCAAGCTTATGAGCTATCCGATTCGAAGATCGTTTCACATGTGAGATATTAATATTCACGTTAGACGTGGTCATGACTCTAATATCATCTAAAATAGGTCAAAATAGGAGCTTCCAGGTTCTTCGGCTAGTCCTTCGGCTAGTCCAGAAACCACATGAAGCACATCTGTTTCCACTACAATTTTCTCCCATTCCTGTGACTTTGACCATAGCAAAGCCTCCCGAATCGCTTGTGCCTCCATCTCTTTAACCGAGCAGATACCAGGCCATGGGGTTGAAGCACAAGCCAGAAATTGGCCGGCTGCGTTCCTGGCAATCCACCCAAATCCCCTTTGACCATTTTGATCACAAATTGCTGCATCGGTATTCAGTTTAATCCACCCCGCATCTGGCCTTACCCAATGATCGCACCCAACTTGGCTGTTTATACTTTTAGTAGCTACTGGTCTTTGAGCAGCCCGCCAACTTGAGAGTAAAGCCTCCCCATGAGTAATGATGCTTTTTGCTTCTCTGTTAATTTGATTCCAAACCTTGTCATTTCGTGCCTGCCAAATGCTCCAACAAAGAGTGATCAACTTGCAACATTCTTCCTCACTTTTCTGACTAAACATTATCTTAACCCAATCAAGAAAAGAGGAAGCTCTCCGGTAGGCTGCGCAAGGTGCCACACTTTATGTGCAAGTGGGCAGTCAACAAACAAGTGAAGCTCGGTTTCCTCTCCTCCGTTGTAGAGACTACACATCACAGGTACATCTACTCTCCTCCCTCGTAATCTTGTCGCTGTGGGTAAACATCTGGAACAAACAAGTGAAGCTCGGTTTCCTCTCCTCCATTGTAGAGACTACACATCACAGGTACATCTACTTCCTCCCTCGTAATCTTGTCGCTGTGGGTAAAGATCCGGAACAAACTTGCCAAAGAAGTGTTTTACCTTTGGAGGAATCCGGTACCGCCACATCTTTACCCACCCCAGCCATCCATCCGGCCTAAACTCTTCCATCAAGTGTCTTTAGCAGCTCTTTACCGTATAAATACCTCTCTTCCCATGCTAAATAAATACCATCTCTGACTCTACGATTGCTTAAGGGAATACTGAGAATTATTTTCTTATCTCGATCCTCAAAAATATCATTAACAACATCAATATCCCAGGCATCCCCGCCATTACACATAAGCTGAGATACCGACATACCGTGATATCTCGTAATGGAATTGGTGGGATAGTGACCACTCTTCCATTTTTCTCATCTGGCAGCCATGCGTCATTCCAAACACTTACTGTGCTGCCATCTCCCACCCGATATCTAAGTCCCTCTCGTATCACCTTCTGAGCCTTGCGAAGGCTCTGCCAAATGAAGGACGGATCACTGCCAGCTGCTGCCTCAACAAAAGAACACCTGGGAAAGTATCTTGCTTTATGAATACGGCTCACCAGAGCATCAGGGTCATTCACTACTCTCCACGCCTGCTTTCCAAGAAATGTACTATCTTTAAATAATTAATTCTTGTGTGTCTGATATGGACGGAAGATGCGCATTATTATCAGTATTATAACCATTGTTATCAGGTCAACCAGTTCCTCCCAAGCCATGCCCGGTTTCCGTGCCTTCAACCAGGTCAACCAGCACAGGGCAGCCCCTTCCATGGCTACCATAGCTGCTGCCACTTTTCTTCCAGGTGGGGTTTGATTGATTTCGAATTGTTGTTCAGCCCTGGCCATCCATCCGATGGGGTCTTCGCCATCAAACGCGGGTAGCAGGTTGGTTGCCGTGCTGCGTGACCCTCCGTCGACCGTATGCGTAGATGCGGCGTCGCTGGTTGACGCGGGCTCCTTCTTCGGCAGGACCACAGCCTTCATGAGTGCAACGAGAGAAGCTGATCTCCTCCAGTCGGATGCCATGCGCATCCAACTTCTCGTTCATCCTGGCTTGCTCGGACCGCAGCTCTGTCAAACCATCGATGTGTGATCTCTTCATTCCGGCGGGACGGAATCCGGCAGGCACCCAATTAATGAGAACATAAAATAAAAATCAAAACGGAATAAACTGCTGCCCAGAATAACCAACGGTAGAAACCGTTGCCCAGAAGCCAAGAGGCTGAAATTCAATTTTATTAACTAATGACAAGAATGAATCCTAACAAGGGGTATAAATACCCTTCTAGTAACAGACTCAACAGAAACCCTAGTCGAGCCCAAATTAAGTAAACCCTAATTAGGCCCAATTTAACTCTACTAAATACTCTACTCATAATAGGCCCAAACTAGAAAACATAACATAAACTTTATAATAATATATAAAACTAAAACCTCAGTCCACTACCTGCCCACGGAGGTGGGCCCAAGCCTGTTCCCGCCTGCAGTAAACCAACAGAGGCCTGGATATCAGACCTTCCTCTTCCGTACCACCCCTTGCTCTCCTTGCTCTCTATAAAAAAACCAACACTAAATCTTCCATGACACAATAGCCTTGGAGTAGTAACCACCACAAGACACCTTTACCCTCATGAGTGGCATCCGTCCTGCTGTGGCTGCCAATAACTCCACCACAACAATTCCATACCTCTCTAATCGCACAAAACTCTCTGCGGGTATTTTAAAAATGAAGGCATTTGGGAGCTGATGAGGAACAACTGGTCTAAACTCACATTGCAGTTAAGTTCAATGTATTTTCCCATCCTAATATCATGAGGGAGCACATCGAGATCTTTGACCGTTACAACATCTAATGTTTTCGTTTGATCATTGGTTTATAATGGTGCCGTTTGATCGTGGACAAACTTGGCATTTATTACTTTCTTAAAGCTTGCAGACACGCTAGATGTCAATGAGGGCAGTAATGAAGCAGGTGTGTCTCCTGTTAGGGACAACGGGAGGGCCATGAAGTCTTATTATTCTTATTTCCTTATTCAGTTTTAGTCATGTTCTCATTTAGCCTTTTAGCGTTTAGCTTTATGTTTCTTATTATGATTAGGGCTCTTGTGATAGCTAAAAGAAATTCCTCAAATTTCAATATGCTTATCTTTCAAGAGTTAAATATTGTGTCTTGACTAGGCCGAGCTACCTTGGGCTTATTTTACCTTGGAATAATATGATACTACTTGGGTATGAGAGGCGAGAGCATGACACTGGAGAGGGCTATGTTTAGGAAGAGTATATGTGTGGAGGTTTGATTTTATATTGTTTGTCTCCTCTTAAGCTTCAGCCCTTCATAAATGCTAGTCTCCCCGGGCCATAAGGGGAGAAAGCGTGCTACATTATTAGCGTTTGCTTTTAGTGTAGCGATAAACGCTTCAATCCTACAAAGCTACAAATGGTATCAGAGAACACAGTGTGGTAATCGTTTTTAGTGTAGCGGCAAACGCTTCAATCCTACAAATGGTATCAGAGGACACAGGGTGACAGCGGTGGTGGTGGTTGGATTTGTGGCGGTGGCTAACCTGGCTCTTATACCAGTTGTTAGGGTTAGAACACACACAAATCTGGAAAACAAGAAAAGAAAAACACATGAATTTAACGTGGTTCAGCCAGTAGATGTTACTGATCTAATCCACGGGGGTCAGTATATATATGCAAACAATTAGGGTAAATTCTTAATTAAACATAGGCCTGACTGCCACCAAAAACAGACCCAGCTAGGGCTGTCTGCTGCTCCTACACCTCAACATCTCCCTCTTTCTCTATCCAACTTTTTTAACTCCAATATCATATGTTGATTCGTGTTAGCCGACCCCAAGGTCTTTCGGGAATTAGGCTTAAATGTTGTTGTTTTAGGCTTATTTTATTTTATCTCAAAATCATATATCCTGAACTACTGAAGTCCCTATTGGCTCTTCCTCTTTCCTGTTCTTTCTCCCTAGATCTTGAATGAGGTAGCCACCACACTAGTAACTATTTCGAGTTAAGTTACTCCACCAATCGTTTCCATCTATACATCAATGTTATCATCTGGATTCAATTTGGTTTGTTTGCATATTATCTCCTCATGAAATTAACTCCCCCGGATCCAGATCACAGTCTCTCTCTATCAATGAATGGATGACATTAGTCTGCTTTGAGAAATCACTGTTCCGCCCTTTGAATGAACAGCTTTTGTACACATTACTATGCAAAATTGCTCATAAACTAAAACTCACATCAAACAAATCTCAATGTTACTCTTTGGAAGGGTATAATGGGATAAAATTATCATTTTATTTGCTTACAAAAGCATTTACTTTTAGGTTGATAGAATAGATCTGACTCACCTGAAGGTTTACGCAATAGATGTTGATGAAGCTGATGAGGTACGTGATTCTGTTTTGCTGATGTAATGTTTGTTCTCCAAATATAAGCAGCCCTACAGAAAGTAGCCAATGTGTGAGCACATGCAGCTTGATGATGCATTGAGCGCAACAAGGCTTGATGATGGCCGGATACGAGTCTGGGTACATGTTGCAGATCCAACTAGCTTAGTTCAGTCAGGGAGCATTATAGACAAGTACATTATAATCATACTGCATGCTAATTTAGTTAGAAAACAGCTACTTCCTCCGTCCCGAAAAGGTTCGCCAAATTGACTTTTCTTGGTCAATGACTATCAACTTTGATTAATAATATTGTTTAATACGAAATTATTTAGAATATGAAAATTATATCAATATGTTCCTTATTCAAAATATTTTCATTAGTATAAAATTTATAACGTAAATACAAATATAATAATGAAAATCATTATCCAAAGTTTGTCATCATTGACCAAGAAAAGTGAATATGGCGAACCGTTTCGGGACGGAGGTAGTAGTATTTAGATTCTATTTGATAGTTCTGTTACTTCTCAGAGAAGCTAGGAGAAGAGGAACCTCCCTGTTCTTGCCCACTGCTACTTATCCAATGTTTCCTGAAACTTTGGCCATGCAAGGCATGAGTCTTAAGCAAGGGAAACAGTGCAATGCTGTTACTGTATCTGTCATTCTGCACTCCGATGGCAGGTGAGCTGTTGAAGACCTTTGTTTTCTTTATTCTTGTACTGTCTTCAAGTAGTGATAGCCTTATACAGAACCTGGATGGTGAGAAAAGAGGCTTTTAAGAAACTCACCGCACAATTTTAAATCAAAATTCTATAGGTAGTAGAATAGTAGGCATCTATTCTTAGAACTTACCAGTATGGCTCCGGTGGGGTTTCATTGAAAAAACTGACACATTCCTATATGCTAAGAATGTTAAACCTATCAATCTCTTGAATAGTTGAATTCGATTACTGGAGCGGTAAAGTTATACGTTATTGTCTAACAGCATTGTAAATTAGGTGTCACATAGCTTATTTACAACAATAAGTTCATGGTTTGCATCACCCACAACACATAGTTCCATTTTATATTATATTAGGATGCTTTTACTTGGACTGGAATTTTCTGGTCGGGTCTGGCAAGGTTGTTAAGATCGCGTGTCAACTCGTAAGATCGTCCGATCTTGCGAGTAAAGTGCACTTGGACGATCTGGATCGTGCTAATGATCGGAAAACATGGCTGAATCGTGGGATCGACGAGCTGGATCGTAAAAACGCCGGATCAGCGTTCCGTGTGATCTGCTAGAGAGAAGCCGCAAGGCTGGGTCGAGTACTGTTCAGCGAATATGGAAAAGATCTGACATCGGAACTCCAAAAGTCGCAATGTCCTAAAAGTCTTAAAATGGAACGTAAATTACGAAAAGTCATAGTTAATGTGAATACCCAGTTAATGTATAAGTCGGTCATTTGCAACTCCTCTGTTTCTCTTCTTAGACGAGAATATTTTTTTATTTTTCACTCTGTCCCCTAGATACCAGTTCTTCATATCCACAATTGAGACATACTTCGTATTTTTTAATCTCTTAATATCCATATTAATAAGTCTTATTTTATAGCCATAAACCTATTTAAGTTATTCATTACTTAGGGTACATTAAAATAATTTTAAATTTAATTAATTATAGATGCATATTTTATAATGGTCATGAAGTTATTTAAGTAATTTATTATTAAGAGTGAATTAAAAGAATTTTAAATATAACTTAATACAGATGTATGTTTTATAAATATTACATATGAGCTTTGATTTTAAGATCTTACGATCCACGAGTTACGATTTTCCAATCCTCATCTGATCCGTGCTAGGATCTCGAGTTTAACAACCTTGCGGTCTGGTCTGAACAGGTCTGGTTTCTGTGTATTTTATAATTGTCCAAGTCTGGTCTGGGACTGAAAGTAGTCTGTGAACAAGTATTGTTGTAGTTCATATACTTGATGATAAAGTGCTATACAAGAAGCTATATTTATAGCTATATTTAGAGTACTAGGGTTTCCTATACAAGATATACAAATGGGCTAAGCCCAATACTACTAGGGTTTTCACACTCCCCTCAAGCTGGAGCATATAAATCATATGTACCAAGCTTGTTACAAATATATCCCACTCTAGGACCTCTGAGAGTCTTAGTTAAAATATCTGCAAGTTGTTCAGTTGTGTTCACATATTTTGTGATGATATGTCCACTCGTGATCTCTCGGATAAAATGACAATCAACTTCAATTTGTTTCGTCCTCTCGTGATATACCGGATTTGATGCAATGTGCATTGCAGCTTGATTATCACACATAAGTTGAACCGGTTTTGTGTTTCCATATTTTAACTCTTGGAGGAGATGCCTCAACCATAAGATTTCACATGTAGCAAGGGCCATTGCACGATATTCTGCTTCAGCATTAGATCTGGCAACCACATCATGTTTCTTACTTTTCCATGAAATTAAGTTTCCACCAATCAAGATGCAATATCCCGATGTGGAACGTCTATCCATCAGACATCCGGCCCAGTCTGCATCACAGTATCCCAAAATATCGTGGTGGCCTCGATCTTCAAACAACAATCCTTGTCCTATCCTTGTCCTGGAGTTTTCTTGATGTATCTCAAAACTCGGATAGCTGCATCCCAATGTCCAGTACATGGCTTATCAAAAAACTGACTAAGAACACTTATCGCAAATGAAATATCTGGTCTCGTGATGGTAAGATAATTCAATTTGCCGATGAGTTTTCTATATTTTTCCTTGTTGGGCAAAAGATCTCCCTGTTCTGATAAGAGTTTAACGTTCGGATCCATTGGTGTATCCACTGGCCTGCAATCTAGCAACCCTGTTTCCTCAAGAATATCCAAGGCATACTTTCTTTGTGAGAGAGCAATTCCATTTTCAGACTGTGCAACCTCAATGCCAAGGAAGTATCTCAACTTTCCCCCAAGTCTTTTGTTTGAAATTTGCTAAAGAGATGTTGCTTGAGGAGCACAATTCCTTGATCATCGCTACCTGTAATGACAATGTCATCAACATACACAACAAGATAATTTATTTGTTGTCAGCAGAATATCTGTAGAATATAGAATGATCAACAGCACTGCGAATCATGCCAAAGCTACAGACAACGGCACTAAACCTCCCAAACGATGCACGTGGAGATTGCTTCAAGCCATACAATGAACGACGTAATCTGCACACCATACCAGACTCCCCCTGAGCAACAAATCCGGGTGGTTGCTCCATATAAACTTCCTCATGTAGATCTCCGTGAAGGAATGCGTTTTTGATATCCAATTGGAACAATGGTCAGCGGCTCATTGCTGCCATGGATAAAATCAAACGAACTGATGCAATCTTCGCTACAAGAGAAAAAGTGTCAGTGTAATCCAAACCATATATCTGAGTATACCCTTTCGCCCCAAGGCGTGCTTTAAAACGATCAATCTCCCATCAGGCCCAACTTTAACTGTGTAAATCCACCAACATCCCACCACTGATTTGCCAGCGGGAAGGGGGACTAAGTCCCACGTCCCACTAGAACGAAGAGCCTCTATCTCAGCCAACATGGCTTTACGCCACTCCGGGTGTGCCAGTGCCTCATGTGTGGTTTTAGGAATGCATATATGATACAGGTGGGAAATAAAAGCATAGTACGGGGTAGAGAGGCGATGATAACTCAAAAAGTTATATATGGGATGTGGATTCAGTGTAGAACGCGTACCTTTTCGGAGGGCAATGGGCAAATCATCCAGAGTGTTTTTAGGTGGTGCGGTAGTTTATGGTGATGATGGACGAACCGTCATAGGGGAATCAACTGGCGTGGCCACGATAGGCTCAATGGCAGGAGGTCGAGGACGACAATGGTATACCTGTAATGGAGGAGGGTCTACCACAAGAGGGCAGTGGGGGTGCTCATCAGATGGAGGGGAAAGAACAGTTTCTGTATGGATGGGCCGGAGATATGAGATGAAGTCCAAACATGATGGAGTATCAGCAGAAGATAATGGGTAATAAAAGGAGGACTCGATAAAAGTGACGCCAGCCGAAATAAAATGCTTCTTATGTAATGGAGAATAACAACGATAACCCTTTTGGACTCGTGAATATCCAAGAAAAATGCATTTTATTGACCTAGCTGACATTTTAGATAGGGAAAAGTACGGAAAAGGTACTTGTGGTTGGGTCCGTTTTCAGATAGGGTCATATGTTTCATTCTTTATCAAAGTGGTTCATGTGTTTGAATTCCGTTATCACAAGTAGGTCACGCCGTTAAAAACGTCTGAAAAGACCGTTAAAATTAACTCCGATTTTCAAAAGTGCCCGAAAAATTAAAAGAAAAATACCGAAAGGTGCGCCTCGTCAAGATGACCTCCAAACCACTTTCGCCTTTGGATTTTTCAGATCTGTTTGAATTAATTTTTAAAAATGATTTCACTAATATCACTTTTCCGGTGGACTTTCCGGTGACGGGTGGCTGAAAACAAAAAAAAAGAAATATGGCCTAGCGGTCGTCTTATTGAGGCGCACCTTCTGATATTTTTCTTTTAATTTTTCGGGCACTTTTGAAAATCGGAGTTGCTTTTAACGGTCTTTTTCAGACGTTTTTTTAACGGCGTGACTGATAGAACAGAGATAATCGCTAGCTCAAAACAGTATAGAATCAGTAGGAAATAAAGAAGAAAGGATCGGAAATGCTTATTATCGATGATGAACAGTACAAAGAGGAATACAGTAGCCTTGGACGATTCGAGATGCCCAGTCTCCCAGCCTATTCCCAACTGAATACTTGCCTGCCTTCTTATTTCCCCCTCCCTACTATTTATACTTACTTATGGGTCAGCCCAATATTAACTAATACCTAGCCCAGGACCCTTTACTACAATATCACAATTATTTATTATATCTCCCCCCTTGAAAAACCACCTTGTCCTCAAGGTGGGTGATAGGACACAGCCTTGATCTTGAACTTCATCTTCATCCTGGACCCTCTTCCTTCCCGGTATCTTACTGCTTTGTGTATCCCTAGCTTCCTGATATGAACCTTCAACATCACTCCTTCCATAACCAGAAAGAGCATAGCAAGAGAGAGCAAAGGCAAGGACTGTTTTGCATCCTGCTGCACCATGTTGCAGAGGTTAAAATCTTCCAGCATCTGTGTTTCCTGTTGTATCCTTTGCTTTTGTTGCAATATCTTTTCAAGAGAAATGACCTCACTTTGGACAAGACCTTGAACAAGTTCAAAAGCATCTGATCTCTCCAAGGTATATCTTTTCACAAGAAGATACTGGTCTCTGAGTCTCTCAGCCATGAGTTTGATTCTTTCAGAACATATCGAGGATAAGGCACAACCTGCTACCTCACAGAAAACAACACTCATTTGCTTGTGAGCATCTTCATCATAATCCAGCAGTATCTTCCATAAAACAGAAATAATCTGAGGAGTTTCATCTCTAAAGGGATCACTGAGCAAACCAGTTTTAACCTTTTCAAGGACACCCATCCGAACTTCAGCTGTTCTATCAGTACATTTCTTTAGAACTTCAGCTTTAACATTCCAGCAATCTGAAGGTCCTCCTGAAGAAATGGCATGGGGTTTACCTTTAGGTTCAGCAGCATCTGATGCTTTTTCCTCGCTCTCATCGTCACCTTTAGTGCACTT